TGTGATTCTCAGAGGTGGCCTTTATTTTGAAGGACTTCTCTCTCAGCTTAGCCTTTTATGGTGTGAGTAAACCAGAGGCATTGCAGCAAGACTACAGTACAGTAAGGCTGTTCCTCACCTAATGCCAGGGAGGTGGATTGGCATCATAGCACCTCCAAACCCAGGGCGCTTTCAGTTGAGTACAACTTTAGTGAGTAGAAAGTTACATAAGCATTGGTAGATTCTTTAAAAGGAGTCCTAAGGCTGGAAAATTATCATGACCAAATAAAGCATTAATTCTTTTCCATAGCATCAACTATTAGATACTCTATGAATATTTTTTAAGTCTCCAAATAAATTTCCTATGTTTCCCACGAGTCACTGGTAACATCTTGATGGGAAGGTTACATTTCCCTTGCTGATCTAGCTGAAGCATGGTGTGCAGGTCAGTAATTGACCAAGTCAGGACACCTTACATGAGTTATCTCCTTTTTTTATCTGGGTCTGGGTTTTCATTGCATGGAGCACTTTTTGAACTATTTATAAATTGACCAATATTGCCAAATTTCTTATCCAACTTTGTGAAAATGATTTTTAAAAACTTACATGGGTGGGTTGGAGATGTGGCTCAGTGGTAGAGAACTTGCCTCATCTGTGTGAGTCCTTGGGTTCCAGCCCCAGACTTACATGGGGCTGCTGTTTGGCTCAATTACAATAGGCCATCCCATTGGTAGTATGACTCTTCTTTTATGAACACTAGTCTTATTTTCTTGTCACTGCTGTAACACTTTACCATAAACATAGGGACTTTTCCATGTGAATTTACTATCTCACAACTCTAGAGGCCAGAGTTCTGAAATGAGTCTTAGAGGGCGAAAGCCAAGCTAAATCTTGTTGGCCGGATTGCTTTTGTTCTTGGTTCTCCAGGGACTAATCCATTTTCTTATCGTTTCCAGCTTCTGGAGGGTGCTGTATTCCTTAGTTTGCACCCCTGCATCACTCCAACCTGTGCTTCTATCATCATACCATTTTCCAACCCCACTATCTCCCTCTGATGAGCCTTGTGACTGAGGGCAGTGGGTCTACATTGATAACTCAAGAGAATCTCCCCATTTCAATAGCCTTAATTTAGCAATATCTGAAAATCCTTTGGCTATATAGGAAACATATTTATAGGTAGGGGGAATTAGGATTGGGGAGCATTATTTTCCTACCACATTCTGTGCTTTCCAAATTCATATCCATCCCATGTGCAAAATATGTTAGTTTCATCCTAATGTCCTCAAAAGTCACGACCAACTACAGCATTATATCAAGGTTCAAAAATCTCAATTAATTCTCATCAGCCTGAGAGTGCCAAATCTTTCCATCTGGATTGGCAGTGGGTAAGGGTCTGGTACACTGCATCTGAGTTACATTCCTCTCCATCTGAACTTGTGGGACCCAGGAAGAATTGCATTATCTGCCTCTGAGAGGGCAAAAAATGGCCGCAAAAGAAGGTAGCACCATTGCTAAGCAATTTCTAAATCCAGTTATGCAAACAGCATCAGTTTGCAAGACCCAAGAATAATCCTCTCTGATCTGAGGTTCTGCCTTCTAGGTTAAGGGTTTGACGTTGGAATCCTCCTTCCTTTTGCATGAAGGGTCACATATGAATACAGCTAAATATTTTCAACCTGTTTTCTGAATGTTGGGAGTCTGGCAAACTTTTGTCCCTTTGTCCTCTTTCTGTCCCTTTCAGCCCAAGCTGGCAGCATCTCTGAAGCTGATATCAAGTGTGGGTCTCCCATATATGTCTAGTAAGGTTTCCTTCCACTCAGTTGACTTCCTCTTAAGCCTGTGTTATGGCTAGCAGTGCATGTCCCAAGTTAGTCTCCCGGACAAGCTGAATGTCTCACATCTTCAGATCTGACTTTTTTTTGTTGACGAATTTTCCCTCCACCTATTTTTATCTTCACATTTTACTATGAGAAGTCAGATGAAAAGAGGCTACAACTTTGTAAATCTCTCATCCAGGTTTCGTCTTCACTGTTGTATTCATTTCCTGTGATTGTTATAACGAGTTATCACAAACTTAGTAACATCAAATAACATAGATTCACTCTTTTAAACTTCTAGAGGTCGTGAATCCAAAATTGATTTCACACAAGCAAAATTGAGATGTTGGCGAGGCCACACATTCCTCTGGAGTGTCGGAGAGAAATTCACTACATTTTTCTAGAGCTGAATTTTTTGCATTCCTTGGCCAGGGCTCATACTTGTGTCTCCAGGACAGCAGCATAGCATCTCACATCATCTCCTCTTGCTACCTCCTGTTGTCTGTCTTTCCTGAGGACTCTTGTGACTGTATGGAGAGCTCACCTGGGTGATCTCCCCATCTCAAAGCTCTTAACTTACATCTACAAAGACTCTTTTCCCAAGTAGGGTAACATTTATCTGCTCCAGGAATTGGGAACTTGTGTTTCTGAGGGTCATCATTTAGCTTTCTGCAGGCATTTATAACCATAGACCCAATTCAGCTAAACTTCTGCCATTACATAACAAGGATCTTCTTTCTTACGGTTTCCATATTTCTTTCAGAGCCTCACCAACAAGCCTTTGATGTCCATATTTCTACCAACAGTGTTTTTGACCATTTAGCTATTCTTTAAGACAATGTAGGTTTTGCTCTACCTGCTTCTCACCCACATTTCTAGTCACAGTGTCTTCGGGGCAATCTAGGCTTTTAGGTCCTAAATCTCAGAACTTTCAGTTTCTTTCTGCCCACTTCCAAAAACCAAATTCATTTCCACATTTTCAGCAATTTGTTACAATAGCATCCTTCTTTCAGGTACCAAAATTTCTATTAGTTTCCTATTGGTACTCTAACAAATTAGCACAAACTTATTTGCTTAAAATACAATGAATTTTATTGTCTTCTAGTTCTCAAAGTCTGGGGACCAAAAAATGGTTCAAGAGGGTAAGGTCAAGGTGTTGGGTGCACTGTAAACTTCTGGAAGGTCTAGAGGAAAAGCCTTGCCTCTTCCAGCTTGCAGAGGACACCTGCACTTGGCCACATCTTTCCTGCCTGTGATTCCATCATCACATCCCCTCTGAAACTGATGTTCTGGCCTCCTCCTATAAGGACTCTTGTGACTATATCTGGCCCAAGGATAATCCACAAGAATCTCCCTATCCCAGGAGCCTTAAGTCGATCACATCTGCAAAACACTTTTGCCATATAAGGTAACATAGGTTTGGGGTGCTGTGAATTAGCTGTAGACATGTCAGAAATGCTATTAGTCTGCCTAATCACAATCATATCTTCTGCTGCACTATTTTATTTTATTTTATTTTATTCTGAAGAGAATATTGGCTATGTATGTGGAGTCTTTCCTTAATTACCTCGTGGTTATTGAACTTACGGTTTTGGCCAAAACTATTTAACCCTTTTTTCCCCAGACCTATCAATCATTTTTTAAAGTATAAAATCCGCTGTTATTTTCTTTGTTTTTTAAATAGAAAGACTGGACCAGAGAAGTTAGGCAGCTTTACGAAGGTCACACAGCTGATGACACAGTTAGGTTTTGATTGTTTGAGCCATTTTAAAGTGCTTATTAGCTGTGAGTTGCCACCCTGAAGTTAAGAAGAGAGCCCACAAGTGAGTGCAGGATACTAAGCTCTAAACTAGGATGATATAAATCCAAATTAGAGCAATAATCTTTTTTTCTCTTCCTTTTCAATAATCTTAATTTACAGAACTTCCTTTACCCTAAAATTAAGATGTACAGAAATAGGATATTATGCTTCAGTAACCTAATGCCTGCCTGCATTATCTTAACAGAAACTAGAAGTAAAACATAAATTTGACCTTTAGAAAAAATACTGCATTCCTGAATCTGCTGTAATTCAGTGAACTTTTGCCTCTGGTAAAAGTTCATTTTCTTTTTCTAAAAAGCGAAGGTTTCAAGTCGGTGACTTACAGCTGAAAGTCCACGGTTAGGTGGGCCCATCTGTTCAGCCTCTGGTAAGGACCTGGTGGTGATGGCATCACAATGGTAGGAGCATGCCTTAACAGACAGGTAGACGGTCTAGCACTCACTCTTACCCGAGCTAACTAGTTGGTATCATCAGTGACTTAATCGTCTTCCATCGGACCCCATCTCTTAAAGGGTGCCTCACTTTCCTCCTTCTTAAACTGATGGTAATAGTAGTAAATCTTGTCGTGTTGCTATGGTAACATGAATTAACACAGGTAAAGGGCTCAACACAGTGGCTGGCATAGACTCGTCAGCTGTCATTAACGTCAGTGCCACAGTTATTGATGACTGAGGTAGTTGTTGGGAATATTTGGAAGACTAGGCTTGAATTAAAAAGATCACGATATGGTTGTACCGGAAGACTGCTCTTGTAGCACAAGTTCACGGACTGTGCAGTCTCACAGCAGCTCATCCAACAGTGGGCATACCCATGTTCTGGTAAAAATTTCACTGTGCATTTATCCTAGATTTACATTTTTGAGTGTATAAACTATTTTAGAAAGTGCATGTATTTTTGGCCTTGGAAATATGCAGCTTGGAAAGCTGTTTAGATAATGACAGGTAAGGGATGGGAAAAAATGCTAATTTCTAAAGGCATCTTAAACTATTTTACAAGCAGTAATATATGTATAGACACACACACGCATACCAAGCTACAAAGTTCCTGAGTGGATTTGATTTGTGCCTTATCTTTGAATGATATTCATCTATAATACAAGCTTATATAATTTGTTGGAAACAATTTAGACAATTTCATAAAAGGTATTGATTAAAATGAGTACTTAAGTGGCTTTCTGGGGTAAAGTAGATGAGGTTGAGAACCAGTTTCTGAGTCATTTAAAGACCTTCATCTCAAGCTGGGCACAGGAGCATACACGTGCAAGCCCAGGTCAGGAGGTGGGGGCAGGAAGATTGTGAGTTTGAGACCAGTCTGGGGTCCATAATGAGACCCTGTTTTAAAAAACAAAAAAAAATAAAAATCTTCATTTCTTTTTTTTGCAGCTTGACTATTTCTGCTGAGTGTCCCATGCAACTTGAGGACTTCCCAATGGATGCCCATGCTTGCCCTCTGAAATTTGGCAGCTGTAAGTTATTTTTCACAAGTGGGAACCATGGATATACTTTGGGGACAAATTCCTCATTCATTCACAAGAACTTAGGTTCTGTATGTAAATAAACACAGTATGCAGTCTGTTTGAGAAGATCAGGGAGTGGTCTGTCCTCACCACACCACACTCCTTGTCTGTCAAACAAGAACACCTGCTCAGCATACGTCACAAGTTAGGGTAACCAGAGATCATATGACTGGAGGCATGGAATAACCTAGAGTGTGCTGCCCTAAAAGTACCTCCTCAGCTCTTTATGGTGGCAACCCCTTCTGCTTTTGTTCCAGGTTACAAGTTACCTCTTCCAAGTGGGCTCCCAATTGTCAATACCCACCCAGTAACTTCTTTATCACATTGTAACCATTGATACAATTACACATTGTGTCATATAATTCATACTGTATCATTCTTCTAGAATGCTTTATAAGAGCCATGACCTTGTCTATCATGTCACAGTCACTGCTCATTCAGAACACTGAAATTAGAAATTTGATATTTGAACAAATTATTCACATCAGAATACACATAATACACTCATTCAATTCTGGTGGACATTCCTAGGTTTCAGCCATTCTGGACAAAGGGTATGGTGACAGTGGTCCCAAGTGACTGCCTGCAACAGTATTTCACTTCTAAGATATTTGAAGGGGTTGGAACTGATGTATTATTTCTGACATATTATTTCTTCTTATCTTTTTTCTATTCATTTGCACACATGCTATGTGAAGTTTTCATTTTTGAAAGCAGAATGTCCTCATTGAACAGTGGAGAACTAGGCGGGTAAAAAGTGGAAGGGTTTGAGTCCTGGCTATCCCACTCCTGTGCTGAGTAACGGTGGGCAAGTTATTTAGCTTCCCTAAGCCTCTTTCAGTATTTTGAACATCGTTCTTCCCATTCCCTACCATCCTGCAAGGTTTCCAATGACAATTCAATCACCGTCTTAAAGACCTGAGTGTACCCATATCACTTTTCTCTTGCTGATTTCAAACTTCTCTCTGTCTTTTGACTTTAGACAATTTCCTATAGTGTGAATTTCTTTGGGTTTTCTTATTTAGGATCCTTTGGGCTTCCCAGATCTGTTTGTTCATTTCCTTCCCTAGGTCTTGACATTTTCAGTTATTGTTTTTTTTTTTTTGAATATGCTCTTCTTGTCCTTTCTCTATTCTTCTGAAGCTTCACCGTGCACTCCAGCTCACTTGATGGTGCCTCACAAGTCTCCTGAGCTCCTTCATTCTGTCACTCTTTTTTTGGTTTTGCTCCTCTGACAGAATAATCTCCAGTGACCTGTCTTTGAGTTCATTTATCATTTATTCTACTTGATTCAGTCTGCACTTGGATAATGCTAGTGAATTTTCCAGTTCAATTATTAATAGTCATCAGCTCTATAATTTCTGTTTGGTACTTTTTCATATTTTCTATCTGTTCACTGAAATTTCAATTTGTTCATGTACTTAGCAAGCTTCTTCACAATGGTTATTAGTACACTGTCTGATAAATCATGCAGTGCTGTTTCTCTAAGGCCAGTTCTGGAGATTTGTCTCTTTCAGCACATTTTTTCTTTTTCCTTTACTCTTTGCACTGGTGTGCACATTGCACAAAGCACCTACCTCTCCATGTTAGTCAACTTTCTATTACTATAACAAAACACCTGGCACAATCGACTTATAAAGAGAAAATGTTTTTTTGGCTCCTAGTTCTTGAGGTTGCAGTCCATGATCTCTATAGGCGTGGGCCTGTAGCAGATGCAAAATCACTCATGTCATAAGCCAGAATCAAAGCACAAAAGAAGTGATTAGACCTCACAATCCCCTTCTAGAGTCAAGCTCAATAATCTAAGGACCCACCTCTCAATAATGCCACTCTAGGAACCAAAACTTTAACACACAAGCGTTTTGGGAACACTGAAGATCTAAACTGTAGCATTTCCCAGTCTTCATGAACTGCCCGTGCTGATAAGACCTTCACCAGTCAGTATGGCCAGACATTCAGGAAGCCTCTATGAATTTGGTGCTAGTCCAGCCCACTTTCTTTGCTTTAAGCAGCTCCAGGGTGTCTAGACTACGCTGGGTCCCTTTACCACACAGAGACAAGCAAGTTTGACACCTGCTTCTCAGGTGGACCTCAGAAAAGCAGAACCATTGATGCCCCACCAGCAATTTCCTTCCCCAGGGAGAAACTGAGACCTAGGGCTTTTCTCCTATTCCAACTCTGCTGAGTGGGGGACAGGCAGTGGTGACTGATCATGTCTAGGTCAATCTGCAATCTCTGTTCTCACTTGACCCAGGTGACCAGATAATGCTGGGTCCCATCAGTGCTTCAACACAAGCTAATTCTCTGGGTAGCCTGTAAAGAAGTCAGGGTGCTGGATATGTGTTCTATTGCTTCTACTTCCCAGAGAAGATCTGGGGTTTCTCACCTCTTGCATGAGTCAGGAGAAGGTGCTATATAGCTATGGTGGTCACCAGCCCAAGCCGTGGTATTCTCTCTGGTCCCTTTCTTTGTTCATAGCTGCTTCCAGGTGTCTTAATTTTGTTAGTTCCCTGAACACTCTGTGTGGGTGAGACAGAAACCTGTCCATAGGGAAGCTCATGAAGAGACCTGGAGGTTGGATGTGTGTTCCACTCGGTTATACTGAAGAGACTCTGGTTTCTTTTAAATCTAGAGTGCTTACATATGTATTACTTTATATGATATTATACATAATACATCTCCAATTAACTTGAGTGAGTTCATCCTCCAGACTCTGTCCTGGAGTTTGAGGCAATAGTTGAGATGTCAGCTGGAAGGAATATGTTCTGTGCATGTAAATACATAAATAATGAGGATGAGAGAGATTTGGGTAGAGACTGCATACATCTGTATACATCAGATTTGGGGGTCCTACCTGTGACCCTTTTCTTTCAAGGATTTTTAGCCCTCATTTTCCACCTGTGCTGTTCTGATGTCTCCAACTTCCTTTTGGTTTTTCAGGCCCGTAAGACTGAGGGATCCTGTCTGAACCTTAGTCACCACACAGTCTGACTAACAGCTTTTTAAGGGAAAAGCTACTCCTCCTTCAGCTGTCAGCTCCCCTCCAGTTTCTGCCTATGCTTGTTCCCTCTCCAGTGCTTTTGGGAGTAATATTTTATTAGGTGTCCAGAGTTAATGGTGGCTACCCATGGCAGCCATTCCAGAAAATGGAGCCTCTTTGATCCCAAGGGTTTTATTGTATATTTTTCTGTCATTCCAGTGGCAGAATTTTGGAATTAAGGATGATAAATATGCACGAGGACCCAAAAGTTAGGTTGGATGGAAAGAATTCATTTTTTTTCAAGCTATGATTCTCAAGTGTTAAAGAGAGATTAGAATATATATTTATTTAGGGAGAAATGGTATAATGGAAAGGAACTGTCACCAAGATTTATTTGAAACCCTTGCTCCCATGGGGTGGCTTTTTGTCTTACTTGGGAAAAGGAACCTGTTACAGATCTCTGAAGCATGTCATTTTGGAATTACTAAGTCACATTCCTGAAGGAAGAATAGATGTTCATATCTGCAGAGAAAAATGAGTTATGCAGTTTAAAATTATTCCAGTCTTTCTGTATGAAAAATATGCTTTGATTTCATCCAAAACAAAACACTGACAGTCAAAGGTTATATTTTTTGCCTTATGAAGGGCTGCTATAGTCACTGGCTAAATAAGTTCAAGTCACTGTGGTCCCCAGATTGAATGAGAATGATGTGCAGGACAAGCAGATGAAAAGCAATTTTCAGTAAAGAAAAATGTGACAACCTAATTTTCCTTCACTAAATAATCTCAAACTTGACAGCCAACCCACGCAGAGCTAAAATACACATCTGATGATATTTCTTTACCTTCTACAGTTAATGAAATTAAATAAGATCTTTTTTTTTAAGCAGTGCTGGGGTTGAACTCAGGGCCCCACACTTGCTAGGCAGGGACGGTACCACTTGAGCCACTCCAGCCCTTGAGACAGGGTCTCACTTTATGTCTGGGCCACGATCCTCCTATTTCTGCTCCCCCAAGTAGATGGAATGACAGATGCACCATTGTGCCTAGCCATTGGTTGAGATGGGGTCTCATGAAATTTTTCCTCAAGGCTGGCCCAGAACCACGATCCTCCTGATCTGTGCCTCTCAAGTAGCCAGAATTACAAGCTTGTGCCACCCAGCCTAAATTAAATAAGAGCTACGTCGCACTTATAAAATAAAACTTGCAGGAATACCTCTAAGCTTAGAACCAATTTTGAACTGCCATGTCAGGTTTCTTTTTACCTGAATCTTTTAAAGATGAATTTGATTTGATTTAAATGTTGATTATTTATATTTGTTGTTAATATCATTATTATAATCTATGAAACAATCAGAATGATTTTATTCACATAGCATCTTTATATACAATTGACAAAGAGCTAGAAAACTGTACAAACCTCAGCTTTCCTCAGCTTAGATGGTTTCAGTTCAGGGCATATTAATTTTAAGAGAAGAAATGCTGTTCAACCAAATGTTTTCCTTACTTGTCTTTCATCTTTTTGAATGACTAAAAATAGTCACTTGGCCAGCTTGTTCACTTACACCCCAGGCATGTGAGCACACAGAGTCTAGATGCGATAGTATAATGAGTTTGAAATTACCCAATTCAACACTTGTCTGCTATTAGGAGACAAAGGAATGCAAATGTGTCGTTATTCTAATGAGCCACATGCTCAGGTTTCTCTAATGCAGAAGTGAATTAACCGGCATTTCTGTTACTGCTGCCTCCACTCTCAGGAACTCAAACAAATGTCGAAATTAGTCCTAGCTTCCAGAGGTATGCTTCCAGGTCTACAAGGAAGTCCTTAAAGATAATGGCCTGACTTCCATTTGGAAGCACTGCTTAAACACATCAAAACTATTTGAAAAAAAAAGGTCCTAATTCTTTTGTTCATTTTATTCATGGACTGTGCATTACATATTAGATTAAGTCATGAGATAACATC